TAAAAAATCTTATACTATATTAAACCCTAGAGAGAAACTAAAGGAATATTGATTCATTGGGGAAAAGTGAATTAGATCTCAGTACAAATACAATTTTGTTGGCGGGTAATCAACAACCACTGAAGTGAATGGCAACTCAAAAGTAATAGAATAACTGGATTCTAACAATAACAAACTTTAACAACTGATTGGATAGTGTGATAAGACATGAAGGTATAGTGTATAAATCAATTATTTTCTGTTGCTTAGAATTTAGAAATCTTCAAATTTCTGTTGTATTATAATTTTAGCATTTTAATACATTGCTTTCTGTTGTAACACTCAGGGATCCTGTATATTCCGTTGCATTCAGCCCTAATGGGGAGTATCTGGCCAGTGGCTCCATGGATAGATACATTCATATATGGTCCGTGAAGGAGGGAAAGATCGTAAAAACATATACCGGAAAAGGTGGGATATTTGAAGTGAATTGGAACAAAGATGGTGATAAAGTTGCAGCTTGTTTTTCAAACAATATAGTTTGTGTTTTGGATTTCCGAATGTAAAGAAGTATAGGGTTATATTAATTTTCTTAATGCTAGTTGTTATATAGCCTTTTGTACAGGCTATTTGCCACGTTTCTATATTTCTAACTTACCATCCTTACTTGGTGTTCGTTGGTGTTTTTTTATCAGACGAGTAATTTTGTTTCAAAATTATTAAAAGTTGGATTTGAATTTATCCCTGAATTTGAAGGTATTCTTGAATTTGAAGGTAGGATGAATCACTTTGATTATTTTTAACTGTTAGATTCGATTTGAATTTATTCCTGAATTTGAAGGTAGGATGAATCACTATTCAATTACACTAGATTGTTTCCTTATTCGGTTTCAGTTTAGGGGTTTCAAATTGCAGGAGAATAAAATCGTTGCTTTTCAGATGCATCATTGAATTCTTAATTCAATGATAAATTACATACTCCTCTTAATCTTGGAAGTTTTGTTCTCATATCATAATTTGCAATTTTAATTCACTAATTTTATAATTTACAAATCATTCTGATCATAAAGATTTTGAAATAGTGAAAAGTTTTACATACATAAATGATGATATAAAATAATAATTTAATGCAGTTATCTAAGTTGAACATATAGAAAATGTTTTGTAAAAATTTATAGATCATAAATGAATTTCTAGTAAGATTGTATGAAAAAAATATAATATAAAAAAATGAGAGATTTAATTACAATTTAATTTTTAGCTTGGAATCCTAATGAGAAATATTGAAAATATTTACTGAGTAAATGATGTACTGTATTAAGAAAAAGGTGCATTTCGTGCAACATTTAAATTATTCAGTTGAGGATTCATTCCACCTTTCATTTCTATACATTTCATTTAAATTATAAGAAGAATTATATTAATCATATATAAGTACATGTATAAATTTACAAATTGGTGTGGATAATGCCTCGTGTTCACATATGTTCCAAAATTATGTGTCGATGTTTATAAAAATTTGAATATAACGTCTCACATTCAAAGGTTCAATTTAGATATATTGTGTCAACATATTAGACAATTATTTTTAATTAAATTTATCATTTATGATACAATAAATAAAATTTAAAATCATATCAACAAATAATCAATAAATATTGATCATAACATATTTTGTGAAAATTAATATTTATGGTATATAAATGCATTTTTATTTTCTGATTATAAATTTAATACAATAATTATATGATTAAAATATCTGAAATATATATAAATAATTATAATTAATATAAATTGTATTACGAAAAATCAACATTAATCATAATATATTTCTTGATAATTAATTTTTATGATTTACAAATTATTGTCATTTTTATATTTAAATTATAAAATATATTTCCTGATAAGTATTTAAAAAGCTTATTCTAAATTATAAAAAATAATAATAATAATCATAGCTAAATAGAAATCAAACTTTAGAATGCACAAACCATTATGGATCTATTTGAAAAAACTTTTTCAAAAGTATTTATAGGAAAAAAATTAAAATAATGTATGCTATTATGCATGAGATAAAATTAGCTTATATAAAAATTTAAAATAAAATTTTAAAATTTTAATGAGAAAATTTTTACAAATTACCTTATAAAAAAATGTTTTATTTTTTCTTTGTATCTTTCTCTCTTGTAAGTGTTTCTGAAAAAGATTACTCAAACCCTACACCAAATAGTAATATGAAGCTGCACCAGAGAAGAATAGAAGCGAGAATCCGAACAAACAGGTTTATATAGAAGAATAAATACTTTAAAATAAATATCAAGAATAACCATACCTAAATAGAAATCATACTTCTAAAATGCATAAACCGTTGCACCATAGAGGCACATACAACATGAAGCAGCAACACAAAGAAAAATAGAAGCAAGAAGCAGAAGCAGAACAGACAGGTTTATAAAGAATAAAGGAAAAGACATATACATGCACGTGTAATTCTCACACATTAGTATACGTTAGATTTGCAATAAAAATCATGTTACTAAACAGCATAAATATAATTGTATTTGATTTATAAAAGGGTATAAAAATACTAGTTGAATTTAATTTCTACATATTGTTAGTATAAAAATATTATTCATAAATTATTAATCATAATAAAGACAAGTCAGTGCGTTCTTTTATTCCTAGAGTAAGGAAGGTAAAGGTCCACACATGGTTGGATGGGACAAGCTTACTCAATCAAAGCATTGTGGTGGGTTGGGGATTCATACCGCTCGAAATCAAAATATTGCACTGTTGGGGAAGCTAGTTTGGGATCTACTACATCCAACGAATCAACTATGGGTTTCGGTACTCAAGGACAAATATCTCTTGCAAGACTCACTCTTCTTATCCAAGAAGAAATCAGGTTCACCAACCTGGAGGACCATCATTTAGGCGTTGGCTCTTTTGGAAGACAGTCTAGTTCTCAAGTTGGGTAATGGAGAGATCGATGTTTTGCAGGATGTATGGGTGGGTAAGGAACCACTAGCGACGTCTGTCCCGTGGGTGGATATTCATGATTCTGGGTTGCGAGTCAAAGATATTTAGGATGGCACCTCATGGCGACTGGACCAGCTTTATAGGCCTTTGTCAAAGGCTCTTCGTCTCAAGATATCTTGTTTAACTCCACATCTTGTCTTAGGTGTGCCAAACTTGTGGACTTAGGCACCTGATATCTCTGGGAAGTACACGATACAATCAGCTTACAGGTGGTTATCAAAGGATCATGGGTTGGAAACTTCTACAAGTTGGAATTGGATTTGGAAGTTGCCACTTCCAGCTAGTTTGTGTTTCTTTCTCTGACATGGTTGTCATCTTGCTCTACCTGTTAAGGAGGTTCTTTGTCAGCGTGGCATTTTGGCTTCCAATACTTGCCCTAGGTGTAACTCTATAGTTGAAAGTTTTAAGCATTGTTTCTTTACTTGTCCAATGGTGCAGGAGGTATGGAAGCGATCTAGTTACGTTTTTTCAACACCTACTTTTGATGAGACACATCGTAGTTGGCTTAAGAAGCGGGTGCAGACGCATGGAGCTCTGTTTTTAATTATCATGTGGTTTATCTGGTGCCACAGGAATAGACTCATTTTGATCATGTGGATTGGAACTTAACATCTATTCTAGCTCAAGCAAATGTTTTACTTCAGTTCTCTATTTTTGCTTTTATGAGTATTGACTGCTCGCATCGGCCTCTACCCCGTTTGGTGCATTGGATTCACCCCCCAGTGGATTCTGTGACTCTGAATGTGGATGGGAGTAGTATTGGCACGCCTAGTAGAAGGGACTTTGGTGGCTTGTGTCGAGATCATGAAGGACAGTTCCTTTTTGGTTTTTATGGCTTTTGGGAAGGGGGGGGGTTCTATTCTTCATACAGAGATTTTAGCTCTTCTCCATGGCCTTTGTCTTTGTTGGGATAAAGGATTTCGAAAGATTGTTTGTTATTCAGACTCTACTTTGGTGACATCTCTTTTACAAGGACCTATTCCATTGTTTCATCGCTACGAAAATCAGATCATGAAGATTCATCAGTTGCTCAATCGTGACTGGACTTACATTGTTGTTCACACCTTACGTGGGGGTAATAGTTGCACTGATGCTCTAGCTCGAATGGGAGCTTTAGGAAATAATAGGCTAGTTATTTTACAAGAGCATCTTGTGACTCTCTAGTTTGTTACTAGCTGACTCTCTGGAGACCGTGTTTCAAAGAAACTAATTTTTTGTTAGTTTCTTCTTTTTATTTCTCATTCCAATACAAAAAAAAAACATAAATTTATAAATAATTAATCTAAAAATCAACAAATTTACTGTACATTATATATTGGAATGCTTTCAAGATAAATACAAATGTTGGTATTATCAAGAATAATGTGGAATTTAACTCATTTATAAAGTATAGCAGCAGCCAGCATCATCTGTATATCATGCCACATTCTTTTCACTCTGGAAAGTAATTGAACAAAAGTTTTACCAACTATTGGCTGGTTGACAATGTCAAATTGGAGTTTATAGATGTGAATAGTCATTTTGTTGACCATACATATCATGAATGAACTTTGGTCTATAGTTGCACAGCAAAATCTGAATAGCAGAAAATGTCAACAAGGTACAGGTCTATAGAATAAAGAATCCATGACTACACCAATTGGTCATTAGATAGCCAAGATACATAATATGCAGATTTCTAGTCTAGAGGAGAAATTCATCAATAAAACTAAACTTAGATCTTCCAATAAGAGCAAAAGTTATGGCTAAGAAAGGTAATAAAACTCATTTAGCAAAACCCAGCTCAAGTGTTGATCAACATTACACTTGAATTCAATCCCAACAGCCACATAAGGGGAACTTGTAACTCCTGCAGTAGATACACCTGAAGAACTTGTATATCCAGCAAAAGGCAACATAATAAAAAACAAATTGATTCTCTACCATAGTTTGGCTAGAGAAAAATAAATCAAACAAAAGAAACAACCACTCATGATACAGTGTAGAAAAATAGAATTAGAAGATATATTTTCATTGTAAAAATTATAAAGATTACAGCCTCATTATATAGAGGGAGGTGATGCTACAAAAGATGAAAAGCTAACCATAAATTTAGAAAATATTCATATTGATACATCACTAATTTATAGAAACTTACAACAAAACTGATCCCTGATAATTCATACAACACTAATTTAGTTTTGATAATTAACACAAGCTCCAATTCTGAATTTAGTTCCCTAATTTTAATACTCTTGTTCCTTCAATACATAACTTCATCAGAGAGGACCTTGGTACATCCAGATCATTAAAGAAGCAGCCCACAATCAGCATCAGTAACTGGGTGATCAACTTCTGCTTCCATTTAAGTTGAGCATACAATTTGAGATGCCTGCAGTTCAAGGCAATAAAATTGCTAGTTAGAGGTGAGGAAAAAACTTCAAAAGAGCCCAGCTCCTCCATGACTCCACCCCTAACCCATAATTTGAGAAAGAGATAACCAACCATAAAAGGTCCAAATCATGTACCTTTACAGATAAGTTGAATGCCAAGTGCCATTTAATTTTGTAGAGATTTAAAATTAACAGCCCTTCACATGTATAGTAGTGTTAGAATGGCCTATTTTCAAATGAGTTTTATTTGCAAGGGAATCACTGTTGCATCACTAATCTTCCAAGTAATGACTTGGTACATGTGGAGGCGAAGGCAGGTTTGCCACGTACTTGAACTGTTCCATTAGAACATTTATAGTTACTCAATTTGTCATAATGAGAAGTATATTATAACAACAAAAATGCAAAAATGATCACCTTGTGCTGCTTGTATTTCTCCCTAACTGCTTGAAAGGACCCCGCCTTTCTAGAAAAATACAAGTCATGCAAGATAAGGACACATTCTTTCAGTTCAACTGATTTGTACCCCGAGCATTCACACAAGGAAGAAGTCTGCAAGATGTTCTCAACTTTAAGTACCTTGAAACAAGGGTAATAGCTAATCCTTTTAATGAAAAACATGGCATAGAATACTCACCCAAGGATGCACTTCAGGGCAAATAATAAACCTGGCAAGAAATACAACTGATGCAGCCACAATAGAAGGCAGAAATCTTATGCAATCGTAATCCAACAAACTTAAATCAACAAGATAACAGCCCAGAAATTCAATCTGCAAATTTGGGGTCTGGAAAAAGAAAAAAAAAATCTTTAGCAAACAATACAAATAAAGTTTTTGAGATAATCAATGAATGACAAGAACAGTTCAACTTACTTTTTGTTTCTCAGAAGTAGCATCAAGAAGCCTCCTGAAACAATAATTACACTCATTTAGTCAAATAAATTTCATTTCAATGAAGGCTAAATATTCAAAAATGCAATATAATATTCCTACCTTAGAAAAGTAATTGCAGTAGGATTGCCCATTTCAAAATTTAGTGATTTAAGTATTTCAGCTTCCATCTTCACAACCTAACCACAGAAACCAGTGAGTGGAAACAATAACAATAACAATAACTCATACTTTGGTAACAGGATAAGAAAAAATAGAAGAATAGCATATTTACCTCTCCTTTATCATAAGTGTTATCAGTGATGCTACAGAATTTATCCACACGTGGTGGATTAATTTCTTCATACTTCCTGAGTATGTATAGAAAAAATGTAATTACTATGGTTAAATAGATTAAGCTAACTTATGAAAGCAAGTTTTGAAAAAATTTAATAGAAGCTTACGAAGCAATAAGCATGGAGGAAACACCCAGTAACTGCAGTCTCGATTTGTTCACTCGATTAAGTGACAAAAACCTATCAATGTAAGACACAGATAAATGAAGAGTTTCAGACAAAAGCTTATACTCCTGGGCAACATCCACCAACCAATCCACTAAAATCGATCGCATGTTTGCCGTAACAACTCTCTGAACTTTCTCCATATAATCAATCATTGGCCTTCTCTTTAACTGTATTTGAGAAACCAACAACAAAAAATTGAGACACATAACATCAAAATCAAAAATCTAAGTGTTTCAGAAGAAAAGCAAGATCCAGTAAACATTAAAGAAACAGAATTACCTCCATTGCACGAAGGTATTGATAGATGTCGGAAACATAAGGATCAGGTGAAGAAGAAATAGTGTTGTTTGTGGGAGATGGTTTTTTGACACTGAGATTCTTCCGACATGGCAGTTTCTCTTTGCGAAGATTTTGAGTTGTGGGAACATTTGAAAAATTGGGAAGTTCACCCAACACAACTCGTTGTTTCCTGGGGTGGAGTATATCAACCATGACTACTGCGGCGGCGTTTGCCTTTCTCTTTGCGGCGGCGCGAGTCTCCATTTGAGTTTCTTTGAGGGTTTGTTCAGTGAGTGAGCTAGATTTTTTTTTTTTTTTGTCTGAATGGTAAGGGAAATAGGATGTTGTGTGTTTATGTAAGAATAGGTAGACAAAACAAAGAGCGGTTTTGAAAATGAAAATGAAAATAGTTTGGCGTGTCTTGAAAATTTCAGGATTTAGCTTTGGTTCCAAATTCAGAAACGGGTGAGAATTTTGGGTTAAAAGAGTTCTTTTGATGTGGCGGGAGGGCGCGCTTGTTTTCCGCCATGTTCCTTAGATGTAATTTTTATGTTTAATAATAATTTTAAGAAAAATATAAAAATTAATGTATGATTAAAATTAAATAAATATAATAGTATTCAGATAATTTTTTAATTTTATTGATTATTTATTTATTTATTATAATTTAAATTAAATTAAAAATAATAATTATAAACAATATGAAATAATAAAAAAATCAAACTTTTTTAATACATATTGAATTTAAGTAAATAAATGACATGTATAACATTAAACAAAGATGAATTTAAATTTTAATACCGATAAAAAATATAATTTAATGTTATAAAATATTATAATATTTCTCGTTCTCCTTTCTATATATATAGTTATGCACTAAAAAATATATTTATTTAAAAATATTGAACTTAAATTTATTTTAAAAAAATTATTAAATTTGGTAACACCAATAAATATGATATAATAAAAATAATATATATATATATAATATTATTAATAATATAATTAAATAAATAATTTTTTAATATAAAAAATCAAATCATCAATATTTTTTACATTTTTACTACACTTAAACATTTTAAATTCCCTTCATATAAAATTAAGAAATATAAAAAAAATCTAATAATTGCATCTTCACCACACTTAAAAAATAAAGGCTTAAATATATTTTTAGTCCCTCAAATTTAAGACAAATTTCTTTTTGGTCCCTCAAATTTAAAACTGTTATTTTTAGTCCCTGTAATTTTCAAAAATCTTATTTTAGTCCTTTAGGTCACCAATAACATATTTGAAAGTGACTAGTTAAGACATTTATGCAATATCAACTAGATTAAATGTGATATTTTCACTAATAGAGACACCAATAGGTAGATTTTATACAATAATATTTGATAAATTTTTTAACAAAATTTGAATATAAGGACTAAAATAAATTTTTTTAAAATTATACAGACTGAAAACAACAATTTTATATTTAAGGGACCAAAAACAGATTTACCTTAAATTTGAGGGACTAAAAACATATTTAAGCAAAAAATAAATATGTAAATTTAGTGTACATGTATGTACATAAGTTGTCCTTCTTATGTTAATTTTTCATTTTTTTAATTTTAATAATAAAAAGACCAACTATTATTTTATCACACAATTTTAAAAAAATTGCATGTATTTAAATACATTTATTAATTTATTTAAAATTATTTTTTTAACCTATTTAATATTGTTAATATAAAATAAGTTTCTAAATATATTAATAAGTCAAATCAAATTTTTAAAAAGATCAAGTCAATTAAACCTATAAAAAAAAAACATGATAAATAATAAATAAGATTTACACTTTAGTTTCATGAAGTAAGTCTGACTATAATCTTACTTAACTTCACCTATTCACAATCACATCCAAAATTTACTAGCCAAAAATTGTCTCTTATTCGAGAGTATTAAGATCATGATTGTATTTTATGCTACCTAATCCCATTGATCTAGCAATTCAAATAAGGATTGTTGAAGATCTTACATCATCTATAAATAAGGTTATGATAATATATAAATGATGAGCAATATTTATCTTCCAAATCCTTAATTTTATAAGGTTGATTTAAGCACATAAAATATTTTCTAAGATGATATCAAAATATTTTTGAATTTATATCATAGTGATTATCAACTATTAAACCATTATTAAATTACACATAAATATTTGATCCTATAAACTTCACATTCAAGGTGTCAATCTTCAATATAAGGGACTGTGTTAAAAATTTCACATCTTCTAAATAATAAGTGGAGAATGATCATCATTTTACAAATAAGTTTCATATGATTGTTACACTCATAATCCATTTTTCTAAGACAAATAACTAATTCATCAATCCTTTAAACTAGGCCAATTCAAACAATACACCCACTAAAATCAAGTCAACTATTGTTCATACTATATCAAGGATCAAATAATAAGTTTTAATCCTCCACATTAATGCATAGTTAATAAGTATTAGTATATATATATATAGATATATACAAAATTAGAAGAAAAAAATGAAAAATATTATAATTTTATATTATATAATAGAAACAACAAAATTATAATACACTATCCAAACTCTTACAACCACGCAAATTCTATATTAATGAAAAATAATCTATAAATAATTCGTAAACACCTAAAAAAAGTCTATAAATAATTTTTTTAAATATTTAAAAAATTACATAAATATAAAGAAGATTAAACTTAAATTATGTCACTTTTACCCAAATCACTAAATAAAAAATTAACTTAAAATTTAACTAAATCACATACTTATAAAAAAATACCAAGTAAAATGATAAAATACAAAAAAGAAACTGCTAATTCCAAAACACTTACAAAATGTATCAGTTAAAACAAAAATTCAAATCATTAACAAAATGTAACAAACTAGAGCTTGGTATATAGTTAGTTGACTATTATTTTAGTTATCTCATTGTCTAGTTGTTGATCAACTCCTGTTGAATATACATTGCATATAAGACCTTTTTTTTAATGTACAAGGCTTATTCATTCAAAAGTTTTGAATTCTGTCTCTCATTATTAATATGTAACAGTATTAGTAGAATAATAACAGTTTTATTACATCAGATAAAGTCAGCTACTTAACTAATATGACGTCAAATATAATTTACCATGAAATCTTTTTTATAACTTCTTAGTGCACAACATTTTCCGAGTCAATTAAAGATCAAAGTTTCAAAAAATGTTATTTGCATAAAATGCATAACTTCCTCTTATATTCTTTGTTTCCTTTTCATAGAACTCAAAATTGTGCTATTTACTATTTTCTCCTATGTCAACCAAGACATTCTTTGTACAATGATAATCTTCTTTTTGTTCTAATTTTGAGCTAAGGCTGTTCTTTTCTCTGCATCTCAAGATCCTTCTAGTTCCTATTAGACCCACTCCAATGAAAATCCTTCATTGCTCCTTGTTTCTCTATGGGACAAATTATCACAGTTGGACTCAATCCATAACCACGGTAAAGAACTGAATCATCATACTTGCTGATGACACCATCTCTAAACCCCAAGATCAAGATCCCTTTTTTGCAGCCTGAAAATATTGTAATACCCTTGTTTCTTGGTTGAATCACTCGGTCTCCCCCAAAATTGCAATAAACATCATTTCAGTCAATGATGTCAATCATGTTTGACAAAATTCAGGATGACCTTTTCATGATAAAAACAAGCTGATATGACCATTAAAGCTAGCTCACTGAGATGAAAGTTGTCTGGGAAGAACTATGCAACTTTTGCCTCATCCTGCACAGCAATTTCCAAATTTGTTTAGAAGTGTCCAGATCATGATTTTGTCTTATATCTCCTCCAAGGCCTTAATAACAGTTGAACATGAACTGATGAAAGGCAATCAAACATTTTGTATCAACTGACTTTTATTTCTCAAGGAATTCTCACTGCATCAATGATCTTCAAAGTAACAAATAGGAATGAATGGAGGGGAAGGTAAGTCTGCCACATATTTAAACTGTTACAATAGAAAGATTATTATCACTAAATTTGCCACAATAAAAATCAAAGTATAATATTATAGAAGGAATACAAATATAATCACCTGATGCTGTTTGTATTTGTCCCGAACAGCTTTGAAAGATGGAGCCTTTCTTGACAAATATAAGTCATGCAAGATAAGGACACACTCT